AGGCATCTGGACCTCCCCACGGCCTACGAAGTCCTAAGCTATTACGTTAGTAAACGACAGGACCTGGTCAAACCGAACCTAGGATTTGCAGACAAAGACGGCCCCGTGGCGAAACCACTGGAAGAGAGAGCAGAATCACCAGCATCCCCTACCGTGTGGACGGAAAGCAACACTTATTGCCGTCAAGTTACGCCAAAATCCACACGGAGGGCCAAGCAGTGAGTGTAGCAAAATCGATCAGCCTATGGCGAACACACACACAGCCACAATTTTGGATTACTGATCGATAAAGTTAGTTCTTGCTTTGACAAAGGACAGCCGGTCCAGCTGTACGAAACGTCAGCAGAAAAAGAAGCACATTCCGGTGAAGAAAAATGCTTTATAAAAATATTATCAATTTTTAAAACTGCTTCCTGTTTCCTCCTCCACCACTTTGAGTCGTCGATCTGTTTGGTGTTACGGTGTAATACACCTCATGTGACCCGTTTAATTTGATTAACTATGTTAAATATGATTAAATGCATTCAGGTTTTAATTGACGCCAATTTAAACCAGGCTTCGCTCAAATATATTTATGATAAAAGCATGAAACTTATGGTATATGCGTTCATTAACCCCTCCCCCTCCCTAGGATCCCCATAAGAGCCCCACAAAAGATTCGGTTTGTCAGCCTTGCAAATGGCAAAAGCAGATTTCAAATTTTTTGAATTTTTCAAAATGTGTTATAGGAGGCTTCCAACACTTAAACTACACATAACCGAGTGACATTTGCGTTAAACAGCAGTTACTATAGTGAAATCCGTCAATCCATAATTGTCTGTGACCGCTGAACTATGGACTGAGAATGTGAACAGGGTCAGCTTACAGTCAGACGGGAGCAGCTGAGAAATTTGCATCTTTAACTGGACTCGTCTCCAGTATGCTTTTTCCAGTCAAAAGGGCATTAAGTGACGGCAAGATTCAACTAGTAAGCAGTCCCAGCTGATAAGTTCGCTAACACCCACTCTGCTCTAGGGCTAACCACAAAGGATGAAATATCCCTCTTAGTGACTTTGGCAAAAAGAACAAGCTAAAGGACTGAACTACTATATCAAACCCTCTGCTGGTATGTTTTCTCATTTTGTGCTATAAAATTCTGTGTCTTATCGAGGTCTTCGGTGAACTTTTCAACATAACCTAACGGAACTCGGAAGCTTTGGGATTGGATTCAACCTACCTGAAATCGTTCTTGCTCCTTTTGTTGATAGTCACTGAAATTCATTTGGTTCTCCTCTGGTGTGATCCTTATAGTGGGTTTAGGTGCACTTGGAGTTTCATTCTGGAGTCTTTCAGTCTGTACCACTTGACATCTCGTTGGATTCTAAATATGATAAAACCTACAAATGACATTCTAATTCCGAAAAAATCAACGTAAATTCCTATAAATGTCTGCCTACCTTCTTTGGAAACTATTCAGAAGACTAAAGGGTTGAGATGTGAGAGTGACATAAATATTTTCCACCAGACAGGGGTGTAGTGGGTGCTGCCGGCCGACGCCCTCCATTGCTTTGTCCGGCGTCATTGTTCAAGACCAGCTGCCTCAAGGTCATCCAATACCTCAGTCAGCGCTTACAGACGCTCTGACCTGCAGAGACTTGACCTACTTCCACTTGGACACATACACACGTGCGTCTAGGTTCTCGCAGCTTCCCAAGCACCACTCGAACATGTCCCTTTTTCTCCACCCACGGCCGCCAGGCATCACTTGGGACCCGGCCAGTCTCCTGGGTGGTTGTGTGCTCCCAAGTCCAACTTCTTCCTCATTATTCTCATTTCCTCTGTGTACACAATAAACTATTCCTTCCATCCTGGCCTCCGTCGACTTCTTCTTTACTAAGTAACCACGCTCTGAAGACCGCAGTTGCTAGAGTTTAACTTACTTAACCCCCTGCGATAGGGGCACTTGACTCTACCCTTTTCATAACATATATTATAATGGAAACCGTTTGGCTTACATGTTCCTAGAAGTTGATTATTTTGGCTAAGAAATATTTTTGACATCGCGATTTGCTGATGAATATGAACTTCAAGAGCAAAAAAACGTTGTCTAGGGAGGCCTCTGGAACTCCATTGAGTGCTCTATTCTCTCAGTTGTGAGAAATCATCACTGGCTCTGTAAAATGCCCTACTCATCTATGGTTCGACCTAATCGACTGTCGCGTTTCGTATTCCTGTAATACTTAAAAAATTATTACCTGAGTAGTTTGAGGACTGTATCAAATATCATGCCTAACAGAATGTCGTTTTGCCGCACAGAGGACACGGCGAACGGTAGTAAACGTCGATCACTTGGTTTTCATATAGGATTAAGGCAAGAACCGACACTCTTTTCGGCCGTTGTTGAAGGTATCGAGGGCTAGTTGCTGTCTCGATACCAGAAAGATCTCCAAATCACAAGTCTGGAAAGACGGACTGAATGGGAGCAACTTTACTGAGCTCAAATAGCTTATTAGTAGCTGCTGCAAGCGCCGTATACAGAAGCCAGTCGAGTCGGTGTAAAAGTGTCTATGCGCACGGCTTTAGCGAAGCCCGTCCAGTCCTCAGTCAATCAGGAAAGGGTGCAGGTGTTGGTATCAGAGCTCGCGAGGAATCGGGCGTAAGCGCGTCGTCAGCAGGAGCGCACGAAATTACAAGAACCCACAGAGAACAGAGGGTATGAGTCAGCTGGGCGCGCGGAGTAACTCGGGAAAGGCAATGGCTTGGAGA